CCAGCTACATTAGCAATTACATGTTGTTTCCAAAGAGCTCAGAGTCCCAAGAGTTGTTAGTGGCCTTACCGTCTTACAGAGCAGAAATAATAAAGGCAGCCCTTTCACCTCTAAGGTTATGAAATTATAAAAGCAACCTTTTTTCCTTTCCTAAGAGTATGAAACCACGCCTAATGATCTTGGAGACACCACAAATAACAGTAATCAAATCACTTCTACGGATGTTTCCAACAAAGAGAATGAAGATAGCATCACTGTAAGTATATACATTGTTTCCTGATCTGTAATCTTGGCAGACTTTCTGGCTATACAACTGGCAAAACTGTGGCGATTGTAATAGGACCTTGAGCTACCAGAACAACGGAGCTGTTACTGTGTGGTGGTCAAAACTCAGAAAAAAAGGAAAAAAATGACAATCAGTACTCCCCTCTCTTGCCCTCCCCCCTTTTTTGAAAGAGTGAATCACTTTTCAGTCTGAGTAAAATTGCTAGTTATTTTGTTTCATGCTTTTCCGAACAACTAGCTGTAATTTTTTAGCCTAAGACTTTGATTCTAATTTTAGCCGAGGAGAGCAACTCTCTATTTACAAAACAAAGACATCCAAGGTAATTTGAAGATTGTTTGAATTCCAGTCATGGAGTCAGCTCCTCCTTACAGAGAGGATATGGTGCAATGAACTTTCAAAGTCTAATCTTATGTTTTTAAAACATGATTTCATGTAGGTTTTTGATCGAATAATTTGCGGTAGATTTTAGTGTAAGTAGCTGAATTAGTGGGCTTCCTCCTTTGCTGCCTTGCCTCTCATGCTCTCTTGAACTGAATTGTTGGAAACCAATAGTGGGTAGCTAGCCTGGTTGGTACTGCAGCCTCCCTGCATCAGTGACTGCATAAAGCAGCAGGCAGTGGAGAGGATGTGCGTTTGTGAACCAGAGAGCAGACTGTGAGTTGGGACACTGTGCTAAAAAATTAGGAGGATCCCAGACAGTCTTATCTCATCTGATAACAGAGTCATTGAACAGCTCAGGTTGGAAGGGACCTCTGGAAATCCTCTGGTCTGATCCCCCCTGCTTAAAGTGGGGCCAGCATGGTTGCTCAGGATTGTGTCCACCCTGGTTTTGATATCTCCAGGGATGAAGACTCCACAGCCACCCTGGGCAATCTGTAGCAGTGTTCAGCCACCCTCACAGTAAAAATTTTTTTCCTCTGTGCTTTTCTTACGTGTTTTCTTATAACATACCACTCTGCTGGAAGGGAAAGGGGTGATGTGCACTCCCTCCCACCTCTCTTGAATGTGTAGGATGTTGAAAAAGTTGTTCTCAGAGGTGTCTGAATCTCTGTTCTCTGCAGGACAGGAAAAATTGCAACACGTGTCTGTTTTCTGTACTCTTTGATATGAGTGCAAATGTTTCCCAGTTGAAATGAATCTCTTAACCTAACTGGGTTAATCTGAATGCATGTTGAATGTCTTTGAAGGTAGTTCATGAGAACAAAACAAGCAGATCTGTTTGCGTCCTCTTTTTTAGGTGTATGTTGTGGTGGGAATTGCAGCACTGGTGTGTACTGGATTAGTAATAATGCTCATTATTCTGAAGTTTGGAAGACACTCTAAGTTTGGGATGAAAGGTAAGCAGGGTTGTTTTTTATACCTTCCATAACTGTTCTGGATTGTATGAGCTGATACTACTGATACTATAGGCTTCCGCACTGAGAGCAGTCAAAATAACTAGATGAAGTGCCATCACATTTAGTGTTTCGTTTATTCATCAGGTAAGTGACGGCAGAGGCAGATGTAGACAGAGTGTAGAATTTTGCATGAAACTCTTCTACTTCTCTTTTTTTCTTATGACAAATCCCATTTCTCTCCCTTCTGCTGCACAGCCCCCTTGGGACACTTCCTGGAGTAAAATACTGCTTAGGTCAGTGTAGGTAGGAAGAAGATAAGAAATGAAGTTTATTCTGATATGAGTTTAATTACAACAATTTGACGAGAATCTATGCTGTATGTAAGAGGTTACTTCAGACCATACTACAAATGTCATGTTGAGGTGATAGATTCAAGGGGAAACAATGGCAAGAGTGGAAGGTGCATTTGCAGTGGATCCTGTCATACTGGTGCTTTCTGACAGATGCATTTTCTTGAGCTTCTCTTTGTATCTTAGAAAGTACCAGCTGGAGAGAGTGACAAGTGCTCATGTCCCTGTGGAAGGGGGAAATCTCAGCCCTTCCATTTATTCATTTACTTATTTTACAGCCAGATGGAGGTATGTGTAACATGGAGGTACCTGCAAGAACTCCATTACCATATTGTTTCACTCATATCATCAGTCTGTGTCTGGCAATGTGGGTCAAATTGTATTTTAAAAAAAAGAAAAAGAAAGAAACACTTGCTGTCTTGTTGGGAGGACTAGAAGGTGCTTTGTTGTGTGCTAAAGGAGATGAGCTTTTGTTTGTAAGATGTGTAGTTGAGGGTCTGTGGAGAGAGTGATAAGTAATCTTTTGGTAGGCTCCTGTTACCTGCATGTCCTTCCTTTCCGCTCTGCTTGTGACATACTACCACATGGATGTATGTTTTGGTAACCCTTACTTGCTCTTGACAAGTGCTCTTTTCAGAGATATCTACTGTATATTTTGTGTTTCTATAACTGTTTAGAGGAGAGTTCCTGGAACAAATGAGATTTGAGCAGAGCAGAAATGTAGTTGGTGCAGATTAGCTTGCTGGGATGATAACCTTTTCTCTCACCTCCTTCTGATATGACATAGTCTCTGCTCTTTGGGGTAGCGTTAAAAGAGGACAGTCATTGTGAAATATCCTGAATAGCAACATGGAACCAGAAGGATAGAGCTGCAGAGTTTTGGCCAAAGACTAGAAAAAACTTTCTGTGGCTGAACAACAGTTCAGCGTAAATTTTACTTGTGTCTGAAGCTTTCTGAATTGCATTTAGAGAGTTGAAGTAGGTGGAAGCTAAATGAGAACAACAATGAGAAATATCTTTAAAGCTGAATGCTTGTTAGATTTTTCAAAATTTGCATTAAATATTTCAACACAACATTATTGGAGGAACTAGGAAGTAAACTCCACCCTGAGGGAGAATGCACAAAGTTGTATTTTGTGTGGTAACACGTTAAGTTACCTTCCGAGACACTCCTTACATGGTGATTGTTTTTTTAGTATCTTCAGGTATGACTCTTCTTGCAAAAATAATGCTCTTGCATGACCTGTAAGTTTGACTGCAGTAGTTTTTTGTTGCAAAATTGTCCATGTGCATCATATTTTAGTAAGGATACACTTTTGGGGAAATGACTATATGAAATTAGGAAAAGGCAGCAACTTCATATATGCTGTTTATTTTACTCTTTAAATTTGACCAGTGATGGTTAGGAAGATCAGTAAAATGAGTTCACAGTTCAGGTACACTCCTTCAAAAACTAATCACAGGCATGGTATGTGTGGTAATGGTGAAATGTCACTGTGAGCTACAAATAACTCTTGAATGTTTCATTAGAAAGGAGTGACCTTCAGTTGTCCCTGAAGTGAACCTCAAACCTCTCCAAAGTTTACATTCACACCTGAGCTTCACAGTCTGGATCTATCCAGCCCAAAGTCCCAGAAACACTCTCTCCATTTATTGTCATCAGTATTATTGAATTTATATTAAAGCAATATTTAAAGACCTGAAATTAGAACACCATATCTATATGTAATATCCAGACTAATAATAAAATATTACCTGCTCTGAAAAGCCTGCAGCATAAGTATATATTTAGAATTCATAAATTAAGATAAACAACCTGGGGTATTTGAGCATGTGGAAAATAACGCAAAGGTGAAGGGAATTTTTTTGCAGTCAGTATTGATCAGTACAATACATTTAAAATGTGTGTCTTGGAAATTTTGAATAAAAGGATCAAGCCAGCTACCTGTGAACTCGAGTCATTTGCCATTGAATTCAGTGACAGCAAAATTATTCCCAACTTAGCATACAGACATTGTGTTATAATTGGTGGTTTAATAAACAGTCTTAGTAGGAAAGTGGGAAGAAATAAAATATCCGGATTGCCATTGAAAATATTTATAAAACAAGATTAAAAAAATCTTCTTTTCAAATCTTCCGCAAAATATTAGTGAATATTTCGCATTCATAAGAAGGAACTTCCTGAGTTATATCAGGCAGAAATGCACAAAAGGCTGTGCTTCATTTTTCTGTTACCTTGTCAGAACACAACATGGTCACCTCAGACACCCTGTCATTATACATCTCCCCACCGTTCTTCAGCAAGCAGTTTGGAAAAAACCAAAATAGTCACTCAGTAACTGGAGCAGTCAAACTGGCACTCAATGGTATTTTTCATGTAACTGTGCACTAAGAGGGAAAAAATGTCCCACTGAAAATCAGAAAAAGAAATGTGTAACTAGGCAATCAGCACTGTGGTCCTGTAGGAAACGTCTTTGTGTAAGGGATGAAATTTTCACCCCGTTTGGCTTCACAGCAGCTTCTTGAAGACATTTCTTTATGCCTCATATTTTTAAATGCCAGTTTATCCCATCTTTTCACGGGCTTCATCTGCCCACTTCTTAGACTGTGTTCTTGCTGAGTCCTTCTGCGCTTAAAGAGCTTGAGCATGGTTGGAGTGTGGGACTGACAGTGGTAGCATCCCCAGAAAGAGATGTGGGGCAGGTGGTTGTGTCTGAGCTATGCTGCATCAGAGCTGCCCGTACCTGGAAGCACTGCACATGCTGAAGAGCCGCAGAGACTGCCACAGAGCTCACATGCCCCCGTTGTCTTCTTTCCATTACTATACTGAGCAGAAATGAGTCCAGTTTATGTAATAGGGAGCAGCAGGTCCTCTGGGGTCTTCCAGTACTTTGGCAGTACTGATCAATCTCTTACCAAGATCTCCTGAAGAGCTGTATAAAACCTTACCCTATCTTTTGGCTTCTCTGTTCATTTTGTATATCTAAGGTGAGGGGACAACTTGGGATATGTTCATTTCACTCGGTTACCTTTCCAGATTGTAGTAATAGAGTGTTTTTGCAGGTAAGAAGGACAAGCAAAGCACTTGTTCACCACCAGTAATAAAATGAAAATGTTTTGTTTGTGATGTTCTGGATTCTGGTTGAAGTTAGGTTGCACCATACAAGGCAATTGTTTTAATTCTTGCCTTGCTTCTTTTCACTCTGTCTTTCAGAGCTAGGGGAAATAGCAGGTTCTGATGATTTAACTTCAGGAATAGTATTAGTACAGAACTGGTCTGTGATCTGTGCTAGAGGAGACTTAAAGTAGGGTTAGTACAAAAAACAATACAAATCCACACAATACATGAGTGGATAGACTCATGTTGTGCTAGACTTCCAGACTTACATTGCAAAATTCATCAGAGTAACTGGTGAAACATAATTCTCTCTATTCCTCTGCTTGTGTACATTTTAAGCACCTTCTTATACAGGGTCTGATGATAAGAGCTTTGTGTGAAAAGCTACTTTTGGTTGCTTAAGTCTGGAGGTGAGGTTTTTATACCCTTGCAAGATGCTGCAGAATAAATGGTGAAAGCTTCAGTTAATTTCTTAAATGTATTCATTAAGATTTGTGGGTTGCTCTTACAAAACACCTTGGCTTGCTTGCTTGCTTGCTGGAGGATGTGAAAGTGCTCATGGCGGGAATTCACTGAAGGCTGTCAAGACAGCTCTTACCATTTTGTGTGTATTTCTGATTCCATCTAACCAGCTTATGAAACTGAAAAATAACAAGGGAATTGGAGTAGAGAGGGCAGGGGAAGGTTTGTGAACTCTCTGAGAGGATTTATGGAAGAATAATTCTAGCTGTGTTTTATTCTACCTCCTGTGTTGAAAAATAAATGTAAATAAACAACTAGTTGCAACATAACCAACCTGATGCACAGTTTGCAAATGTTAATATAGCAGCATGACACTAAGCATGAATGGAAGTATGGAGGAAACTGATGGAAGATAAATCAGTGGAGAAAGTTTGAAATAGCGTAATTCAGTTAAAAGAATGAAAACATTTTTGCTGATTTGAACTGTAGTAAATTTTAGCACAGGGTGTCCCTGTTCCAGCAACAAGACAATATCCTTAGCGCTCCTTGCTTGCTAGGAAAGCTGAAGTGGATGGTTGCAGACAAGACTATTGTTACAGCTGCTGTACTGTAGAGATAAACAGAGTTTCTGTAGGTTTTACCAAAACCAGAACGGAGAGAGAACCCACTCCTCCCCAAAGCAGCCCCTTCTGTCTTTTAAGAAACTAACAAATAGAGTCTGACAGAAGTAGAGGGAAACGTATGTGTACTTAATCCTTTTGGGGTGAGAGGGTTTTTTTTGAATGTTTTATGAAGTTTCTGTCAGTGCTTTGAGCTGTGTGCAGTAATGCAAAGGTAAGGGAAGAAACTGAGTCTGAAATTCCCATCATACTTAGGCAGTGCCAGCTATCTTCTCATGTCTGTGGGCTTGGGTGTCACACTTTGAAAGGTGCTTCTCCTTCCTCGAATGCTCTCTAAACTACCTACCATGTCTAAACATAAGTCCTGACTATGAACGCTTCACCCCTTTTTTGGTCTTTCAAGTCTGCGCAGTTCAGGGTACAGAAATTTGTCTTTCTCTGATCAGGTAA